GTTGAGCCGACTGTTAAAACGTTTACGCGTAGCACGTTGTGTTTATATGTAAATGGATCGCCGGCGCGTTACCTCAGCGTGTAAAGTTTTGAGCGTGGACAGGAAGAGAGAATTTACTAAAGAAAGATGTGCGCGTGACATGACGTTGTATGCAAATGGCGATTCGCCGTAACACAATGTACGGTGGACACTCGTGACGTTTCGTCGCGTTAAATGCGGGAAGCGTCACCATAAAAAGGATATAATCGAAAGAGCTTCCTTGCGATTCGTGTGACATATCGGGTAAAATTTGCGGCGAATTTTGCACGAAAAACGGTGATGCTTAAGCTTCAAGTCCGCAACTGTGGAGGGGTTTTGCAAAATTTTGTTCGGACATATTTGCGAATTTCATCAAATTAGACATACATGCACCGAGGATAAAAGAGTATCATTCTCCTGTATTACTTTTAGCCGTGTTTTTTTTGCTGAGCTCTTTTAGAAATTCGTCAAAAATCATTGTTTGCCTTTGATAGTGCTATTTCGGTTTTGAGTCTATAGAATTCGTGCGCATGTCGCTTGACGTGCTCGAGAATTGGACCGATGTGTTATTAACTTTTCGCATTTCGCAATGAATTCAGTTTGCTTCGCCAGATTCAAATAACGATAGAAGGATTATGCAACAAGATTCTCAAAACTTTTTTGCGACAAGTAAAGAAAATGTTGGATTAAAGCAGTTGAAATGCGTAGAAATTTTCAATAAATTTCATCAATAACCTCTGGAAAAATGTATGCAAAGCAATATTGATACAAACTTAAAAACAAATATTGAATTATATAATAAAAGATAATTTCAATCTATGTATATAGAATATAGGAAATAGGGGAATTTCGTTATCGAGTTAAGCTCGACGTTGGGGTTTTAAAAAAGTTAAAGGAATAGACTTCCTTTTCGGAGCAACATCTTTTTAGAAAATGTTCCTCTCTATAAGAAGCGAAACGTTATCCCCTGTACAATTTCCTGAACATCATGACAGAAAGGCTACGAGTCCGTTTGGCCGACAACTGTCGAGAATTCGAGAGGAAGCAATCATTATCCTACGAAAATGCGCAAGGGGATCCATTGAAACGAGACAAGGCAGCTTCCATGATACTATCGTCGGGAAATAGGAGAAAGGAAGTCACGAGGGAAAAGAGAGAGGAAGAGGGAGGAATGGGCGATAGCCTAAACGGCGGAGGTATCTGAACATTTACGGACCATTTCCTCACCCACCTCCTCATAATGACATTATTGCCTTCTTGGGACTGAATGGTGGCTGGAGGTGGCGGGGAGCCCTATCTTCAAGTCGCTAACCACGGTCATTATTGGTTTTCGCTTGGTGCACTAGGCATGTAAATTCACGGGAGTCAACATCGCGGCAAATGTCGCGATCTGTTTCACATCTTTTCGCACGGTAGTCGTGACAAATACGACGATCGCCTCGATGGTGTCCTTTATTGCACCGGCAAATTTGTGTTTAGATGAATTCTTTTTCACCCGTAAGAGCATTCGAAACAAACTTCTACATCTCGCATAAATTAAATCCCATAATTTAAGTAATAAAGAGATATCGTTTAATCGGTTTTTAATTCCTTAATATTATCGTAGACATCATTAAACTGGTAACTGATAATTCAATAGAGATTGCATTGTATTAAAACACAAAGAACTTCTGCAAAATATGCTTTTGCCCTTTTATGCTTGTCATTAAAAATGTAGGTGTTAATTTCTTTTACAATATATTTTCGAAACTTGTTGATAGAATATTTTTGATATCCTTCTTTTGAGACACGTTACATTTCCTGTTAAAACGCTACGATTAAAAAGAAATTGCGATTTTCAGCGAACGGTATTTCCACAAGAAAATGAGAAAACCGATATTATAAGACTCCACTTCAAATACTTAATATTATATAACTTACTCGAAAAGCGTACGCTTAAGCTCCGCCCGTTACGTTAAAGCGCGGCGATTAGAATGAGTCAGAATTATTTGCTTTTGCTACCTTTTTACACTTTTGAAAGTACAAGAGAACTTTAAACTTTCCAACACTACGAAACTTACCGATATTCATGATACAAGTAATATTGTTATGCTTGAAAAGTACAAAGGAAGAAAAATCAGGCCATTTCGATATCTGCCCTTTTAAATTGTCTCGTTATCCACTTACTTTCAAAAGTTATTAAATCTTGATATCACATATTGCTATTATTGTACATATAACAAAGTTTGAAGCGAATAGCGCGGTTATTTATCCGTTCTTTATTAAAAGGAAAATCAGATGGTTTTTCCATTGTACGTTATATCAAGTCTGTGCGTGTGCATGTTTCATTTTTATATAATATTTATTGGCTGAATATTGAAAATTCTCTTTCACCTGTCGCCTTTTATTGATTATTTGTTTATTCATTGATATGATTATTTATATCATTATTATATTTATTCAATTTTTTTTCGTATTGAGAAAAACCTTTCGAGAGATGTTTTTATTTCGTTCATGAAAATAAAAGTTAAATTAGTGTAGGCTGACAGTCATTGATAAAACGCATTCTGAATTTTTTACAACCTCATGAATGCATATACGGAGCTGCTTTCCACATACAAGTTTACATGCAACGCACCTTTGAATGACAATACTCTGAGACAAGAATTCTCCCAGCACATTTATATTTGTCATTCAATGCATTTCATATGATTTTCACGATGCGGCTGTCAAGATAAGAAATCAAATTTCAGCCGTTGGAAATAAGGGATGCGTGTTTCATCGCTTGCTTATATACGCGGTATAACTAGTATTCTCTTTTACGGCCACGGATTAAAAATGAAATTATGCATGACCGGGTAGAGTTTTAACCGTAAAATATCGACGTGGCAGCGCTATCTCGGCCGGCCACACGTATCTCTCGTGCACGGTGTACATGTACGCATCGTTTACCGAGGGACCAAGTGATATCGATAACGAGTAGCGAATGCGAGCGTATCGATTTATAAGCACCGTCGGCTCTCGAAAATACATTCTTGCACCGTAGATATCGGTCGCGTAACAAATTAATAGCGCACATTCCGCAGACAGAAGTCACGGTGCATTGTAATATTTACACGGCCGTGTTGTAATATTTTCCGGTTCACCGGTCGCGAATTTTCTGCCGCATGCAGATTCAGCCAAGTGGATTACTCCGGGTAGGAAAATGTACCAACTTTTACTTAGGCGTTAAACGGTCCTAATGCAAATCGCTAGGATACGCGAAATGTGTGTAAAAGCTCGACGGTGCTATGGGCGGTCGTATTTTCCCTCTTTACGCGCAGTTTTATCTGGATGATATGAAAAAAGTTAGTGCCCCTGCACTTTTTTTTGCTTTCAGATACTCTCAGCTCAATGCTGATACTCCTAACTCGGTGGAGTTTGTAATAATTTTCATCTATGCGTCTATTACGTTATCTTTTGTAAGCGATTTGCGAGAGAAATAATTTGGAGTCATCTCCGCGCTAAGAACACGAATTACCACTGCGTGTAATATTGTTACACACACGAGCGGAAATATTTTGAGACTAGATTATTTGAGAGGAAAAAAAATTCTTTGTAACGACGCTCGCGGAAATGAAGATCGTGTTCATCGTGCGTGTTCACGGCTAATATTACCAGCCTAGCCGGAGATGAGAGGCGAGCGGGGCAAGGTTGTCCCGATAAAAATCGTATTAGCGTGAAATCGTCATTAACGAAGGCGATTTTCAAGATCTTTCGCTCGAGATATTCTTAGGCGACGGCCCGTAAATTTGACGGACCATGAAACGTCGAGAGCGAGGTGACGTTCAATTCCTCCGTAATGGCGGGCGAGTTTCCGCGCGGCGAATTATGAGAAACAAAAATTTTACCCCAGCGCTTTTTTTTCCGTGACAGACGTTGAACGGGATTGCAAGAAGTGAAACTTGATTTTACCCAGCGAAAGAATCGCGTCACGCGAGACTATCCGTCCCCGCGATATGAGGAGAGCGGGTCAGACAACGACGATCGAGTTTAGGGTGGGGCGCAAATCCGCAACTTTTCCCATTAAATTGTATCTCGCGTGGAGCTGATTGTGAGCGGGGGAGCTAATGGCGTGACGTCACGACACTCGGTAAAATGGAACTTCTGAGAGCGAGTTTAATCGTCTAATGTCATGTAAGAGAGGGAACTGAAATTGCACGTTTGTGCGGTGATAAGACACAAGGCAAACAAAATGCCCGAGTCATAAAGTTCTCTTGCGATTTCAATACATTAGCGGCGCTGCATAAAATATATAAGTAAGAAAAAAAACATCTTATCTCGCTTATGCGCAACATTGCACAGAGATTATTAATAACGATGCCGTAATATTCACTCGGAATTTCCGTCGAGGAACGTTCACCAAAGCGGTAAGCATAATCAACGCGTTGTCTTACCAGAAATGACACGAATCGCGACACTGGTCGTCAGGAGAACTCGCGCGTTAAAACATAATGGGATACTGGAGTAATTCTGCACCTTTTGCATCTAGAACTGTCTCAATTCATGAAAACATTTGTGTAATACACAAATTATAAGACATGCGTACATATCGAAGTGTCCCACTATTCGGACTAAATCAGACAACAGCATAGTATCGCTGAAATTTAGTTTAGAAGCCTGAGACGAAATCTGTTCCCTACAATAAGTTACAGGTTACTTATAACTTGTTTGAGTGGATAGATGTCTTGTTAAGCTTCTAAATAACTTAATTTCAATGATACCATGCTGTCCATAGTAATAAATAAGGGTGTATATCTTCGGGGAGGTAGGCAACTAAGGCCCGGTTTCACCAACGTTGTTTAACTTTAAGCTTAGCTTAATTTGTTCTTTGTCCCTTTCTAAAGTAACAGTTGGAAAGAGACAAAGAACGAATTGAACTAAGTATAAAGTTAAGCGACGTTGGTGAAACCGAGCCCATGACGCGCCGCTTGTTAATTTTCGGCGAGAAAAATAACGGGCTAGGACTAGACCAGGATTCGAACCTGGGACCCTTCGCTTGTCGGGCGAATGCTCTTCCAGCTGAGCTCACCAGGCTCACGCTTGAAAATCCTTCTCGCTTATCTACTTTATTTTACTGAATAAAGTAGGTATAGTATACTAGCAGCGCGACTCCATGCTGTTCTCTAATTCAATCCGCATAGTGGGATACTGTCGGTCTGTAAGCAAAACCCACATAATTTGTATATTACGCAAATGCTTTCACGAATTGACAGTTGTAGGAGCAAAAGGTGCAGAATCGCTCCAGCATCCGCCGATCGAAACACCGGGGAGCATCGAACTCACGAAGTCGTGCTCTCGCGAGTGGCTGCGACGAGTTGTATCGGCAAAAGATGTTGACCTAAAAACCGTGGGGGCTCATAACGAGTAAATACCAACTTTGTGTTAAAGGAACCGTCGGGGCTCTGCCGTGCAATAAACGCGCCAGCATTCGCGAATGCATTCGCGCGCACCCGCGCGCGACTCGTAAAGCACAAACGTCTAGCTATTCTCTCGCCCTCCCCGAACCATGTGCCCCTCTCCGTGCTTTTATATCGGGAGACCCTCTTTCCCTTTTTATACAATCCAGCGGTAATTGTCATGTGCGGCAGAAAAGCCGCGCTCGGCCGCTTTTACGCGCATTGCCCTATCGTAATCTCGCCATCCTCCATCTTGAAGTAGATTCACGAGAAAAAAATCCCAGCGTGTACCATCACTGGCAGAGAGAAAGAAAAAGAAGGGAAGCGATGTGTGTGTGTGCTCGCGCGCGCGCGTCATGGTACAAGGGTGCAAACGCTCTTGAATATGTTTTATTCAGCGCTACAGAGAGATCCTTTCCGAAACAAAAAAGAATGTCGCAGCTTTTTTAAACTAATCATTTGAAAGCGGACACTTTAATTTACGTTCAGCTGTTTTCATTGAAATGTTGTATCAATAAGTATGAAATCTAAATGCAAATAACTTTTTTAACTACTACGTTTATTTGAAGACGAATTTCTATCTTGCTGAAGGACGCGTTTGTGATATGCAAACTGATTAGCATCGAAAAATGTTGAGCTATACACATTTATACGGAGATACACCGTTCTAGATAAATATGTATAATAATATTATAATAATCGTCCTCGCCAATCTTTCGCTTGTTGGCCTTGCGTCAGTGCAATATTTAATTGGCGGGTCACACACATTCGCGGTAACGGACGGTGCGCTATGCTAAAATATTCATAAATAAAGCGATGGCTTGTGGTAAATCGGTTCGGCGCGTATCTCGATATCTCTCGGAGTTTATCGTCGTTTCCACAATTGACGAGGATTGTTACGGTTCATGGGGAAATGTATTAAATTAATTAACCGGATGCACGATAATTGATTGGCGAATAATATCGAGCGATTTTCAAAATATACTTACTATATATGCGACGGGAAGGAGATATTTCTGCTTATTATAATTTCGTGTAAACTCACTTAAATTTAGTAACCGGATTCCAACGTCGGACTCTGGTGCAATTTGCGTTTAAGATTTCACGATGTCCGATGCTATAAAAAGAAAAGAGAGATAGTTTGAAATATTTGGTTTGTGTTTATTTTTGAATAATTGTACACAAACGCCAATACATTCTCTTTTATTAACTCGTATTTATTATTTTACTCGATGTTTCGTGGGTGAGCATGAAAAATTCAATTTTATGTATGCTCGGATTACTTGTGAAAAAAATTATTTATCACAAACGAATCGATCTTGGCATCAAACGTAAAAGCATTCTCGCACATTTGTCCGCGTGTTCACCGCGATTGCGGAAACTCAGAGTTGTATCCTACGCTCTCTAAGGAGGAAATGAAAAGAGAAACAGGAAGGAATCGTAAAGGATGAAATAACACGAAGGGAAACCGCTAACTACGGTTTCGCGCGTATTGCCCCGACGCAAACCAGCGCGGTGGAGTTTTATTTGTGCCGTCGAGCGCGCAACGCGCGATAACATTAAGCCGGGCCAATTTCGAGCGTGCTTGTGATACATATAAGACGATATATATATATAAGGCCGTTTCAATCGCTGAACGCACAATACGAACACTCGGTATTTAATTGGCGGCGTAGAAACAGCCGTAAACTTTTGACGTTGACGCACTTGAGCTCACAATTTGTACGCGGATATTTGATTTCCTTGGAGCGGAGCAGTAAAACCCGCGAAGGCTGTCCAGTCACTTCCGCGAGCGGGAAAGCTGATTTTGAAAATGAAATAAACCGGCGACGAGAGCCGGTTCTGAAAGAGCGAATGTGCTTCGCATGTCGAGGGACACGTAATAGCGGCTAGTACAAACAACAGGTTCCGCCGAGTGACGTTGACCCCTTGTACACGAGGTTCGGCCTCATGCGGAAGATACAGCACCTGTCGCAGGGTATTAATCTCATGAATCGTGCAAAGCTACACGCGTCCTTCGCCGGACACGGTATACGTGGCGAGAGGCGCGGCACGTGTAAAACGTGGAAACGACCGTCACGTGCTGGCTGCAGGCGATGGTCTTTTTGTTTTCTCGCTCGCAACTTCATCGAACTTTCGGCGAGAGAAAAGATAGACTCCGTACATGTACTCCGTACATGCCGACGAGACAATCCAGGAAGAAGACTCCCCCTTTTCCCTGGTAAGATCATTTCGAGATGTTTGCATAAGACCCTACCACTTTTCAAGCTCGAGTAAGAGCGCGGCGGGTCCGACGGGATCTTAAATCCCAGCTCCGGCCCATCGTAGTGGAGATTAACGCGAATACGTGACTTGGGTGCGATCGCGTCTCGGCGAAGGTGGAGGTCTCGCGTAGGTAACACGTACTACGAACTGCATATTTCCCGGTGGGCGATTGTTGCCGCGAGAGCTGTCGACCCGGTGCATTGGCAGGGGGTTATATACACTGTTACCAGCCGCGAACGCCACTTTCTCAATGTCAAGCAACAAATCTCGAGAACCGCTCGCTGGCTGGGTGGGTTCGTTCGCTCGGGCAACGCTACTAAACAGCTCGTAGCCGTGCGCATAAATGTACGTACATGCGCACACGGCTATGCAAATCCCATAGATCACCGTACGGTTTCTCGTACGCTCAATACGTGGGACTGTGGAGGCTCGCTGCACCCGCGTCGATAAACCGAGTAGATAGATCGAGGGGCATTTCGAGAGGAAGCGGGCTGCGCGGAGAGAGAAGTGTAAAGCACCCTTATTTCGCCTTACAAGACCACCACCGGCGGAAAATATACGTAGCCATCGGAGCTCATTATCGCCGCACGTTGGCCTCGTCCTGGAGACATTCCGGTAAACGAAAGAGTCCGGTAAATGTCACGCGGTAAATAAACGTTGTCGCATGCGCCGCAAGGAAATGTCCCTTAAGGCCGAATCAAGCTGGAGACGCACGAAGAAACTTGAGCAGTAAGACTTTAGGGAAATGACCAATGGCTGTCGAGAACGTAAGCAGCCATTTTGAAATTTAGCAATGCTGAAAATTCCGATTGGTTGAAATTCCTAAGTCTTTTCGCGTGTTTCCAGCTTCGTTGGTCATTTCCCTTAAGTCTTTACTGTTTAAGTTTTTTCGTGTATTCGGACCTTCAGACTAGCAATTGCCAACTCGGATTGAGATTAGCCAATGACGATTGTTCTCTAGCTAATGAGCAGTCGATTAGATGGCTGGCTGCTTTGCTCATTGGCTGGAAGACAATCGCCAATCCCAATCCAATCCGCGTCTACAATTGCTAGTCCGATTCGGCCTTTACGCGATTGTATGTCGTATGGGGTGGGGTAAATAAGCTGGCGGAGACGGGCTGGATTGCGGCGGCCGTGAATGCACGCGATAAGGCGGGCGGATTGAAAAATTGGCCCGACGGGAGAGCACGTAGATTCGGAAGCGCGCAACAACTTTCCGGCACCGCGCGCACGAGAATAATATATTCGCGTAGCGAGTTGATGTATCGTGAAATAGACGATATATATAACGTCGCGAAAAAAAACTACGGTTTGTCGCCAACGCCGACGTATTTTGTTTTTATTAGCATTATTGCTACAACGACTGCACTAAGAATAATTAACGGTTGTAATTGCGACGTGACCTGGCTCTTCGCGATATTTTTGGTACAATTGATTTTGCTCAAAATTACGTACGTGGAAAACAAAGTAGAAGAGGTCGAAACGTTTTTTTCTTCAATATCATATCGTCCACTATGCTCTGGGAAAAAAAGACAGCAATCCATTTTGGGGCCCACAATTAGTAATCGAATTATTTGGATTGTTCGTAACTCTAATCTTTTACGAATTTTACCCTGCGTAACTAAAATTGCAATTAGCTATTCTATCTATATCCAAGATTTTCAAGTAATACTAATCAATTCTCTCAATTAGTTCTGTCGATATTCAGTAACGCAAAGATCATTTTCACGTAAGTGTCACTAACCGAAATGTTAAGTTGCTTAACAAAAATTTTTCCCAGAGTACGAGCAATCCAAATAATTGGATTAGTAATTGTGGGCCCTGAAATGGGTTGCTATCTTTTTTCCAAAGTGTTGTAAAGGCTCCAAAAAGAAAATGTATAGAAAGGAGGAAGTGCCAATGCGAGCCAAAAAAATGAACGGAACTCGGTTCTCACAATTTAAAATCAAAATTTCTCTTTAATAAGAAAACAAACGTTTCGACCCTTCTTCGGGTCTTCCTCAGCGAAAACTACAATAAGATCATGAAAAGTTCAAAAGGGATAAGAATACAACACAAATTATAGTACAGATTGGTTCGACAGTTATAATCAATTACCTCGCTTAGACCGAATAAAGGCATTGTCTTTTTTTTCCCAGAGTGGAGTGGATGTGGTATTGCATTTAAGCGTAACTTTTTAATCGGTAAAAGTCCTACGTCCACGGCAACGGGCAACGCGCGCACGTCTCTGGCGTTAAGCTAAATAGTCACGTTCTTGACGTATGTAGCGTGAGATAAAAGCGATGCGGGATATAAAACGGAGGTGGCAGAAGCTCCGGGTGGTTTATTTTGCCGTTGCACAACCGCGAAATAGCGGACCACCGCCGCCGGTAC